TAACTTCATTTTTCCTGCAAAAGGGAACACTCCTTTAACTGGGAAAAACCTTTCTAGGGCAACATATGGGACAAGGAGGGCACTTCTTCGCTACTGAGAAAGCGATTGCGTGGCAGTTTTCAGGCTGACGGCCCCAAGAAGCTCCTGGAGCATCTGGGGCTGAGATAGAGGTCAACCAAAAGAGACCACTCTTGGGTTTTGTATTTTTCTACTCATTTTAAAACCCAAGGAAAAAGGAGCGTAGAGCGTGCGCAGAGCGGCAGAGGATTTGGCAGACCACAGAGCAAATGTCCTGTGACGCTCCAAGCTAGTAAAAATCATTCTCTCTAAAGAAAATCCAAACATGGGCAATAAAAAGACCAAGTGAAGATTTTTTTTTTTGAGTAGGAGAGAAGAATTTTAACTAAAAAAAGAATAAAACAGAAGGAGAGGTTGAACCACGGTGGAGAGCAGCACAATGGGGACTGCCCAGTACCTGCAGGGAGGTTACTGAGAAGGTGGCACCAAGCTCGTGGCCGAGCAGCATTCCCTGTACAGCAAGGGAACAGGAAAACAAGGGGTCATAAAGACATAAGAAAAAATAATCGATATAAGGGTAATAAAGCCATGTGGGCTCTGCCTGTGGAGGTTTCCAAAGACCCAACTGGAAAAGTCCCCAAGAAACATGGTCTGATCTCAGGGTCCACCCTGCTTGGAGCAGGACACTGGACTGGAGACCTCCCAAGGCCCTTTTCCTTTCCAAATGACTGATTTAATAGCTGTTCCTACCGGAGTTCCCATAGGGAAGTATGCCCTGACTCTACACTTGAGTGAAAATCTGTTACGGCAAATAGAGTTAAAAAAAATTGTTCTTTAACTTATGACAGAAGAGCATTCATGACAGAACAGCAGCTACAAAAAGTGTTAGTGTTAATGCCAGAGTTAGTTTGCAAAATTAGTAATTATGGAGTCAGAGAACACTCACAAAGTCCTGAAACGGGCGCTCTGGGGCTTTATTTCTGACTGACAGCACGATGAAGTGCCTCGGTAGACAAACCAGCTCCATCTGCAGTAGGTTTTTTCCCCTGATCTCCTTCATATTGTGTCTGATTTATATTGCAAACTATTAATTACTACTCACTAGAATGTACTTAGTGTATTAGTCACCCTTTGCTAAGTCTTTATGCCACTAGACAGCATAAAATTCTAAGAGCAATAGTAGAAGTCCCATTGGGTACCAGTATAGTTTCTTCAAGAGCAGTTTGTGTTTCTACGAAGGTGGAAAGGGGCGCACAGGGGCAAGCAACACCCGGCAGGGTGGGCAACCAGCAGCCCTGGGTTGGGGCCGCTCTGGGGCCACAAACTCTCAACTCGCTGGGAGAGCAAGGACGTCGAAACCCCCAGAGCGACAGGAGCCCGCTCCCGCCGTGGATCACGTTAATCACTCTGTGCGGTTGCAATCAAGAGGAAAGGGGTAAAAGGAGCCATTCCTGCTCCCTGAGGCTCGCCCTTTAGCACGCTCAAGCTCCAGGCGGGACCCCCGAGTGCTACCCATCCGACTGAATACTGAAACAGAGAGTATGGGAGCGCGCCAGGCAGGCCTTGCAGGGCAGGGCGGCCGCGCGCGCAGCCCTCGTCCTGGCTTAGGGCATGGGGCGCTGCGCGAGCTCCGAGCCTCTGCACGGGGGGCTGAGGGCTCGAAGGGGCCTCCTGGGCACAGACACAGGCCTCACAAAAGCATTGAGAGGGGCTGAGCTGAGAAGGGTCCATGGATTCGACTATCTCCTGCAGTACCACACATGCCAAAAAACACAGGATTTTCCCCAACAGTCATTGGAAACTGTTCAATTTAATAAATAGTAACCACTTATTTAATTCTTTTTTCCTAAAGGCAGAAGCCACAAAGTTATACTAAATGCCATAGAAAAAATACAGGCAATATCAAGAGCACGAACACAGCTCTTTGCAATCCATGCAACGGAGGGCAGGAAGCTGCATGGAAGGCTTAGAGGATCTCTCAGTACAAACGAGGCCCCATACTGTGACACAAGGCACAAAACCGCTCAGTAACCCCATGCTAACCTGAAAGTCCTTTCTCATCACAGGCCTGGCAACCACCTCAGTGCAGGAACATCCACCCTGGCAGCCTGTCCTTACTGTAGGAGCATCCTCCTCGAGCAGGAATTGGCACCTGCTTCTTAATTCCAAACTTGGAAGCTTCTAGGGTAGCACGGAGCCCTCCTCCGTTCCAAAAACCAAAATATAAATTCTTCCTCTACCCAGGGAAGAGATTGCATAAGCTAGTTTGGACTCCAGATACAAAAATAACCACCAAACTTCAGGCACGATTTCTGAAAGTGTTTTAGCTGCAACACAAATCTGGTACAAAAGCAGGCACACACGGAGGCTCCACGATCCCTCTTCCGGATTGCCGTGGGATCCCACACGGATCCAAGCGCCGCAGGTGCAACATTTCCCTCCGTCCTGCAGCAGGCAGCAAGCTCCAGCCTGAGAACCACATGTGGGCACATACATGGTGAAAGATAAACTGTGACCAGCATACACACACACACACACACATATATACACACACAGCTTTTTAAAAAGTCATTTTTTTTGGTTAAATGTATCCATACATATGTATGTGTGTGTATATATGTGTGTGTGTATATATATATACACATATATGTGTGTGTACACATATATACACACACACACACATATATATATATATCAACATGTGTGTATGTGTGTGTGTGTACGTATATAAGGAGTCTGCTTCTTGGTTTACCTGCCACGTCCATGTCAGCATGGAAAGTGAGCTTAATTTTAAGGTTATCGCCACCCACAGCAGTTACAAAATACCATTTCACCGCAGTAAAGTAGGAGACACTAATCTAAATAATAAAAGTCACTTCAAATTATTTGGTGAGGACGAAATACTCTCAAGTCCAGCTTGACACGCCAGGAATGCAAGGCTAGAAACAGCGAGCCCTATCCGATTGCCGTATTTGCTTTCCTCCCCTGTGGAGACTCTTGTCCTTACAGTGTAATTTGCAGCTACGCTTTCCTTCTAGTAACTGTCTTCCAAGATAAGCTCCTTCCCACTCTACTGTGGGGGGCTCTGCTTTTATCTGACAGTCCCGAGAAAAATAATCGGCCCAGAGCTGGTAACTAATTGCCAGCTACAATCATTTTACACATATTCAAGGACATCTTTTCTACCCGTGTTAAAGTGGAGCAAAGGTTCCCTTGCAGCTGCTTCCAGAAGGGCGATGGGCTGCCTGGCAGAATTACTTCTTGCACTGGAGACACCTGCCACAAGGCACCTGCCTCTTCTCTCAAGGGCCTTGCTTTTGGAAAGACTATCCACACTATAGTGAAATTGCCTGCAAAAAAAGCAGGCCTTAACTAAACACCACATTAAGGCTGAGTATTGATTGGTAATAGAGACAGGCTTGCATATAAAAATATAGATAAGTCAATAGCCACCTGACCAGATAAAGGCAGATCCCTATTCTGATGGATCAATTACTGAAATTATTTATGGAGCTGATGGTTTCATCTGGTTTGGGAAGTTCCTGAGCTGAAAGTGATTGAAGAATGGGAGAACTTGACTGGGAAATACAAATACCTGCAGTCGCTCCCAGGCTTTCTTCAGCGCTGTTTCTAGGCTCTATCATGGACCCTAAACAAAGTGCTGCAGTTTTCCACCTCTAAAACTGCCATCAATTTCCTCACAAAGCTTTACGTAGCTACACTGCAATGACAAGCAAGCTATGGAAAATTAAAGCAAAGTAATAGGCACTATTTTCAGGTTGAAGAATTTTGAATTTGGAGGCAGCTTTGCAACAAGAAGATAAACAGCAACCCCACGACATGCAGAACACTAGCGAGTGCTCTTTGGTTTTTGGTACTTGCTCTGGTGCTTTGCATCATGCTACTGTGCGTAACTGAAAAGCTACAGAAAACCACTTTTAGATGAGATTTAGACTGCAGAGAAACGCAGGACTCATTTCTGACTCTGTGAGTCTATTATCTTAAAGCCTTATCACCCCTGGAACCCCAGTTGCTCTCCCCTTTTAATGCATAATGTCAGCACTTCTACTTGGCCTATCTATTAAGTTAACCTGTGTTTTGTGGAATACAACACACAAAGAGATGAGTAGAAACATCCTGCATTATATAAAGATATGTATAAATGCATAAAAATGATTAATGTCAGTAACATTGTATTTTTGAGTTCTAGAATTGCCCATCAAGTTATTAAAAATGGTGTCTTATAACCAAAAGCTAAATAATTGCAAAAAACAATACATATATTGAAAATATTATTTTATTTTTTTTCAAACACAATTCTTGTGTCTGGGGTCTTTCCATGGCCAGAACAGTTCAGTCAGTTCTCACCAGAATCCACCAACACTCCCTCTTTTGCTTTCTGTCTTCTCATTTTTGTCCCTTTTCTCAACTTCCATCCCTCTTTAGACTCAACTTCCTTTCTGATGTCCTGCTGACTCCTCAACCATTTTTTTTTGCCCTTTTGCTGCGACCCTTTCCTCAGATTTCCCATCTTTATTTCTCTTAAATGGGAAAGGTCTCCATTCTTCATGGCCTGGGCAGCCACGAGCGTGCAGACTGGCCAACTAGGGGCCTGCCAGCAAGCCTGGCTTACTGGCACCATCACGTGCCCTTTCCTCAATTTGAATCCACCACAATCTAGCCCTGCATGGCCACACGCAGCCATGAACATTTACAACCACTTCTATCCAACCCTTAGTTGTAATACATTACAGCTCCATGACCCATTGCTACAGAAACATGGCACAACATTACCACTTGTCACAAAACTCATCTTGGCTTATAAATTTTATTGCAAGTCTTATATGAAATAGGTACCTACATCTGTCAAACAAATAGAAAACATAAAAATGCTGCTAAGTGCTGTCAAAGGACTCTAGATAAACGTTTAAGACATCATATGATTTTGCATCAATGGAATGAGTTAATATTATCCAATGAGTCACTTAATTTGTTGCAAATTTACGTGATCTTATAAGCTGGAAGGTGAGCACACATTTCCACAGGTCCTTCAGGGCAAATCACATAAGCAAGCTGGAACAAGACAAATAATTACAAAGTAATAACAAGATCCACAAACCCGTTTTCTGCACTTTGAGCTTGGCAATACGTCAGTGCTCGCATGCTCCTGTTTCCTCTTTGGCACTGTTCAAATACACTGGAAACAGGCATAAAACAAAGAGTGAAATTTCCCTGCATCCTTAAGGAACAAGAGAACTGCAAAAGCACACTATCCAGCTTCACCTTCTCCTACAGGAAAAATAATTCATAGCTGCAGCCAAAAGACTCCTGAATAACCTAAAGCAAACTCAAACACCTCTCACATACTGAAAGAGCATCGTTTTCCAAATTAGTAGGAAATATTTGCAATTATTAGCATTGCAAGAAAAAAATAAAGAAAAAGAATAATATCCTATTAAAATAAATGCACTCATGGAATACAATTAAAACACACCAGCATTTTTTTTCATATTAACAATGATTTTTTTCATTATTGGGAGAATATTCAGCCCAACTTTTCTGATAGAGAAAGACATAAAGACATCAAGGAAGTCACTGAAGTAAGCAGCAGCTTTCTGCAATTACCAGAATTGGTGCAGTATCAAATAAAAAGCAGATGAAAGACAAAGGGGATTAACTGAACAAGGGAACCCTGCACCAGAATCATCCAGATGATCAGAACAACTACAGGAGCGAGTATAATCGAAATTCCCTCTCACTGGTTGGGCAGCATCTTTGGAAGAAGAAAGTCTAAGGCAAAACAGCCATTCAGGAGCTCCTCTTTTCAGCCAAGAATATTTTTTGACTGGCATTTCTACTTAGAGGCTTTGTACTGGAACAGCACTCTTTTTTGCTGCTTCTTATATGCAAGCAGTTGTAAAAATTGAACTACACAAATATCAGGAAAAAAACTCTGGTTCAAAAAGATCTGCTCCGGGACTATGTTTATATCATATCTGGTGATTAAGGGGTCAACAAGGGGACCTGAAAACAAGGGATCAAAATGAGTGTTTGGAAAGTCAGGGCTGCTGAGGGGAGGGGAAAGGGGGAGAAATGCACAGACCTCTCAGTAAACACGGGGAGCAGGACCAAGGGGAGACACCAGAAATACCACTGAATCCCACTGATTCTGCTCCCAAATTCCAGCTTCAGCAAGTCCCCTGAGACAAACTGCAGCTTGTCCTGTCCCTCACCAATAGTGCTGGGACAAAGAAGCTCCTCAGAAACTGAGAACTCTGCCGGGGTCCCACTGGAAATTCCCCTCCATGTCCCATACTAGTGAATGAGACTTAGTGAATTAATGAATGGCTCTTTTCTTCATCTGCTGATCACTTGCAGAATGGAAAAGACAGCTCAGAAATAACAATCTATTAGATGTTCACACGACCAAGCAGACCCTCCATACTGGCATTAAGAATTATTTGGTTTTGGAAGCAGAAATAAAAATTCCCCTGATACCTGAAGATGATGAACTTGTAAACAAAAGGGGAAAAAAATAAAAGAGCACAAGGTCACTAAGTTTTACATTCTCCAAATGCTGGTTAGGAAAGCAGAGCTTTCTCTTCTTACCTCCCTGCAAGAATAGCCAAGAGCCCTGCCCGTTATATAACCCAGCAAACCCCAGAGCAGCACGAAGCTCTGCAACAATTTCTGAAGTTTTGCTTGCTGCAAACGGCAGGGCCAGAGGGAAGGGCTTACACAGCACCTGTACCACAGAACAGCCTACACATCTCCATTTCCGCCCTTCCATTTAATTCCCATTTACCTTATCAAAGTGTTAAGCACAACAGGGGAGCTGAGAGCAGCTGTCTGCAGGCAGAGCTGCTTCCCCGGGCCCATCCCATGTGCAAGGCACCTCACAGCCACCAAAGCCTCCTGCCAGCCCTTTCCTCCCAAGCACAGGCACCATCTCATCAAAATACCGCCTTGAAACAGTGTCTGCTTTTGCCTATAAGCTCCCTATAACCACGTGTCACTGTAGTTGTAATTCACATAACTGCACAGTAGGTACGTATAGAAAATCCCACTCCGCTGGAGCATACAGCTGTTTACACAGCGATGCGCTGCTTTATATGTATGCAAATGAGTACGTGTTTCATGGACATTATCTCTATCCGCTGGAGATTTCGGTCTCTTATTTAACAAAGTAAACAGAGATCACAGAGCAGCAACACAATATTGCTCCTGTAGCAGAGCGATGCTAAGTGGGAAACCACATGCAACGCACAGCCCGTGTCTAGAGAACTGCAGCGTGGTTTCAAAAAGGCCCCAGGACTTCAAAGAGGCCTCAGAGCAGTGCCATGTTGACTTGACAACACTGAATGTCAAACACTTTAGCTTAATAATTATTGTAGGAAGAGGTGGATAGGGAATTCCACTGATGTCTTTCTAAGCATCTCAGAATTTTAGTATTTTATAATCTGTTAAACATAGAAGAGCTTTTTCTCTGTATGTATAACCAAAATGGTCACTTCCTGCTAGGCAAATACACATTTCTTGCTGTTCTTACAGCACAGTCTATAATGAACTGTGTATTACAGTTACTTAGTACTAGCATCAGTACTAGTAGTACTAGTACTTTAGTTCTAACTAAGACAGACACTCTTGGGCCCTAACCATCCTTCTCTGAGCACCTCTCGCGTTTCCCAACTGTCAGGTCTCGCTGCTTTGCCAAGCAAGAGTATGAGATTTCAAATGCAGCAGATATATTGCATTTGCAGATATGCACCACAGCAGAAAGGACAGAGAGGGATAGAGAGAAGAGGTAGTTTTTATTTGCTGGCCATTACACATATACAGGTTAAGGGCAGTATCCTTCACAAACATGGGCCAGGTCTCATTTGCTCCACTTACTGCACTCCCTCTCTTGCTTATATAGTGAAAAAAGTCTCACATGACCTTCTTATATCTATTTTTTTTGTTTCATCATTTCATAGTTCAGTTGCTGCTTCCGTGAGATAGTCTTTCAACAGATTTGCTGGCAATATAAACTATATATGGGTTTGGTACAGAATGACATTTTCCCCAATCTCATTCTAGAAACAATTCTGATTTAAATAGGAAACTTAATGGTAACATACATATTTTCAACAGTCATTTAAAATCTTTTATGATTTATCGTCCTACTCTGAGTTACACAGTTCTCCAAATATCTGCCTTCCGCTTAACACTTGTTCTCAATATTTTCTTTTCGATTCCATGCACACAAAAAATCTCTCCTTTCAGGAGGCCTAATACATGGTGTCACTACGCAGTTTCACACTGTGCATGCATATTCCTAACAAAAATTAGAGCATGATTTTTTTTTTCCTGTCCAGAACCCTGAGAGTTTACGTATGCTCTGTCCTCTCATGCTGGACTGAAAAGGACTCTTAAGTAGGTAAATGGCTAATTTAGATATTGGCAAAACACTTCAAGAACTCCAATTCTTAAGGGGAAGAAGGTTCCTTCCCTGTCTGTCCATATGATCATTCACACTGTCCGTGAGTGACTCAGAGCAGGAGCCTCCCACACGTTCACTGTTCATTAGGAGCTGCATTTCAGAGTCTTTCAGGCGAGCAGTGACCACAGGGCCACCCCAAGCACACCTGCATCCAAAGGTGTAACATGCTCCAGGACAAGCCACCGACGAGCAGATACCAACATACAGACACAGATTACTATTGAATAAATACTAAACATCCCTTCCAAGACTCCAGAATTTTTCTGTAAAGTTGAAGCATGTCTTTGAATTTCACTGGTGGCCCAAAGCTGTCTCCTAAGATCTGTGACTTGTTCATAGGGGCAGCACGTCTCCCTGAAGCCACCTGAATGAGGTGTTGACCAGAGAGGCAAAACAGGGTCCTACAGTGGATGGGCACCGCTGTGACGCTTGCCTGTCACAAGGGGATTTTCCTCACAATCCTCCTGTCTCCATCAGAGACTTCAGCCACGTTCAGCATTCCCTTAGCATGCTCGAGGTTAGCATACTCATGTAAGATTTCTTTTTGTATTTATCTAGAAAAGACTGCAGGGCTGCACATCTGAAATACTTCTCTTTGTTTCTAAATACAGTTATTGTTCTCATTGGAGTGAGTGTGTAGGTAAAGCACATTTAGAAAGTATTTTTTAGAAGGAAAAAACATTCAAGTGAGTGTATGACAGAAGGAAACTATCAACAACAGCAACATGAAAAAAAATGAGGCTAACTACTGCTTGCTGCTTTGATAAACTTGCAAACACTCACAGTTTATAGAAATTTAGCTCTCCGAGGAGCCAGGAGAACAATATCTGCCATGGCAACCAAGCAGAGCAGTCTTCTGGCACTTTCTGAATGAGCATTTAGGAGGAGATTAATTCAATACTCCGCATGATGAAAGGGCTCTTGAGATCCATAACTGTCTCCCACAAATTACCCTTATTGTACAACTGGATGTTTAGAACAGATTGCACATTATCTATATTGAACTAGAGCTTTCACAGCAAATTTATATGAAGCAGATTAAGCCCACATGATGTGTCACACTATTTTCACCCACTCCATTCACTGTGTTTAGAGAAATGGGTATTTTGTTAAATGGATCATTGCAGTTTTGCAGGATTTATTTTTAAACTTACTTATATGTAGAAGTAATTGTAAATGTTTTTACTATGTAACTTGGAAATTCCTGAAACGTGGAAAAGCATAGCTATAAAATCTCCCACTTACATTACAGTGTAGTATATAAGCACAGAGAACAGAAACACTACCACAAAACAGCATTAAGGTACTTTTTTATGCATTTCATGTTTCATAGATACATGAAATTCAAGGGACAGCTTACCTTGATCAATAAATACTTCTGCCTTCCTACTTACATGCATCAAAATACTTTTTTCTCTTCTCTCTCCAGCAAACACAGCATATGAGAAGTATCACGTAGCTCGCTAAAGACTTTCTTTTGATATGATGTTATCTTTTTAAAAGCATTTTATTAAAGTGTAGCAAACATCTTACTACTTCCTCAGGATCAAAATTACTGCTGAATCAGGTCTCAGGAAAAAGTAATGTAGTA